TTGTTTCATGAAATCTAGGGTGCTAGACAAAAAATATTAAAAAGAAAAACCTGTGATACCTAAACCAACTTTTTTTTTAATAATATTATTGTTTCTTGGGGAAGGGGGAACATTCTTTTTGTTGTACTGAAAAATGGAGGAAAGCAGTGCTGAGTTTTGGTTTTGGGGTGACTTCCTTACTAGTGCTTTCTTCCTCTGTCAGTTTCTTTAAATCTGCCTCTTCTCATCCGTGTTTTGTAGATAATGTCTTGAACTATTTTTTTCTGGTTTTATACACATTATGTATGTAATTACTTCGGTTTCCCTTTGCAGCTAATCTAGTTGTGCTCCTAGTCTCCTTTGTCTCTGGGGAAGAAAAATAGCAGCTTTATGTAAAGAACTTCTTGGTTCTAATGCAGGCTAGTCCTACTAATACTTACAGTTTTTAGGCAAATCAGTTTTCTGCTTTTTTTTTTTTTAAAAAACTTTTTTCGCCTTCTCCATATATAAAAACATATTGAAATCTGTATATGGTTCAGAAGTGATTTGATGGATGAAGTTTGGCAATTATCCTCTCTGTAGGGATATAGACCTGTGTGAAGTGAATTCAGGATGCTTATAGAAGACTGTTAATGGCTCAGTGTGGTAAAGGTACTTGTAAATGAGGTAGAACTTCTGGGTGCAAATAGGAAGAAGCATCGGAAGAAACTTAGCTGAAACAGGGGCTTCTTAGTAGTCTCTCCCCATGTGTGTTACCAGTAGATGCTGGTGCTTTTGATTTGGGTGGTTTGGATGTGGCCCTTAGGTTTAGTACACTTTCTGATCTCTCCAGGCATGGGAAAAAAAAAAGGTTGGATTGTTTTCTTGGATTTGTTTGTCATTCGCTATGCAGTTCTGTGCAGTTGTAGCCACTGTTCCTGTTTGCTGTGTTAAAAACAAACTCCTAACTAAAGATTAAATGATTGGTGACAAATGAATGTCAGATAAGGCATTTTATATATATGTGTATGCATGCACGCACACACATTTAATAGAAATATGTTGGAAGATTTAGGGACTACTTTATATTTCAGATGCCTCTCCCGGTGTTTTTTCAGGGTCCCAGTAGGGTGTTAGTGTCCTGTTAAATGGCAGACACTGGCTGTTGTGAGAGCCCATTTCTGTGCTGCTGCAACTTCATCTTTTATGTCAAATGAGCGTTAGCTCTGAGCAGAGTGGGTTGTCTGGGTTTATTATGTATAAGGCAGTATTTCTCCACTCTCAGAGTTCTGTACATGCTTCTGAGGGAAAGCTTGTAAATGTCCATAGTTTTGCTTTTGTGCCACTTCTGTAGATGGAAATTTATACATAAGTTTTTTATCTAGCCTGCAAGGTTTTTGTGGGACTTTTGAACTAATGCTGATGGAAGAAAGTGATAGTTGACTATTTGAAAGGATAATTAAGCTTAGGAAAACACCAGGGTTTATCATTGTAACTTGAGTAACTAGCACTTTGACAAATCTACCATTTACTTAAGATTCAGCATTTGTCTGTTCAGTTGAAAATGTTAATGTTTTGCTGTAACTCTCTTGGGTCTAGCCCAGTGGACAAGGTACAGCAAGACGTGTGCTATATCATGCAACATAACTTCTTTTTTTTTTTTTTTTTTTGCTGACATAAAATTAAATAATGAAAAACTTTTTGAAAAATTAAACCAGTGCAGAGTTTATACATAGTCAACATATTTCATACCTAGGCTACTATGGTTTTGATCTGCTGTTAAGGGCTGTAGTATGTACTGGAACTGAAACTTAAATATTTGTGTGCATGTGTATTTGCTGTCTCCCACACGGATGCAATTCTGACATGAGAAAGTTATGCTGTTGTCATTTGGGGTGTGAAACCTGGGGTGGAGCATGGGGGGTTTTTTGCTGAGCTTGCATAAATCCGTGTTCACATCCCAGACTCTCTTGACTAATGTTGGTAAAATACTTACATCAAACCACTGTCAATGCTTGGCTTCCTTACATGTTTGTTTTTGAAGAAGGTACAAAGATTTAGCTTATTTTTGCCCCAGCTTTTCAAAACTGCTTCTTCCCCACCAAGTTATGAAAGTCAATCAGGTGAGCATTTGCAGTCATGAATCTGAACAGATTTTCTCGTTTCATCCTTAGCAGTGATTTAAGTGAACCTATACTATTTTGAACTAAAGTGGAATGGAAACAGGGTAACGATCAGGCATGGTGTCTCAGCAACTGTAGTGTTTTATGGTGCTACTGCTCTTTTCTAGTGCATGTGGAATTACGTCTGTATTTCTTTTTGTGACATAGATTGCTTTATATTAGGCATCTTTAAAAAAAAATCCTGGAAAAAACATAAATTGTGCTTATGAAAGAAATATAACTGATTTTGAGACTTTTAGGGCATGTTTTAATTTTAAAAAAAATAATACAGGTAAGGCAGGTTGCAGTGAGGACCTTGGGATGGGGGCTGTGTTCTACAGGTAACTGGAGCAAGTGTCAGTTTAAAATAGCTGATCTAGGAGCAAGGCATGCAAGCAAATGTTTTCCAAGACAGGTCAGTGACATCCTTGCAAATGATGCGTCATTTATAGAAGTCATTTTAGGACTAATGGGGCTTACTAGCTTGTGCTTGATGCTGGAGAAATAGAATTATACTGATTCTGTAGCCTGTGTGGACCTGTAGCAGTATACCTCTGCTTCAGATAATAATTCCCCTCAGAAAGTGAGATAACAGTGTGAGGAGAGCTCTAGCCTAGAATTTGAAGTGTATGTATTGTCTGGATAGCCTCAGCCCTCCTTTTCCTCCCTACTACCCCATCATAACTCTGTATTATGGAGCTTTGTACTTTTTTACTTCAGCTTGGCTAAGCCTCTAAAAATTTTTAATGGGATTTAGTACTTCAATTTCCTAAGTAATAATGAGAAAAATAACTTCAGCAACATGTTTCATAATGGAGCAGAAGTGAGTTTTCAAGGGAATTTTTCTGACCAATATTATGGTTTTACTTGGTTTTTAATTGACATTAATATCTACTGAAGTGAACCAAAACCTTAGATTTTGGTTGAAAATTCAGAGAACAGAATTGTGCAGGTGATTGTTTTTTTTTTTAAGTGTAAAAACCATTATCGTTGTTATTAATTGTTGTTATTATTATTACTTATTTATTATTATGTCTTCATTATCCTGCCATGCCAGAAAATCCTATAAAACCTGCTTCCTGGCATAGAATTGAACTGTGTTAGTTTCCAAGAGTTATTCTTATGTGGCATTTGACTTTTTTTTTTTTTTTTTTCTTTCAAGGGTCTCCAGCCATTTGAATCAGTTTCAGTTTTACCTATAGAATTTTGAACCTTGTGCTGTAGTGTACAGTGTACGTACCTACACATTGTTTTGAATCATTCCTACATAATATTGACTTATCTCAGTGAATTTTTATGTTGCTTTAAAAAGAAGACATTTTATAATTCAGGAAAACAGTGTAAATTTGGAAATTAGTCAATATTGCACACACAATAGAAACAACGTTGGTACCATATTAAATACTTGTTCAGTTGAAGCGTTGAAATGTGATTTCTTGTGTTGATAATTAAAAGTGAATTAATTTAATTGTTACTAAAATTAAATTTGACATAGGGTAAATAGTCCTGACCATAGTGATTGTACTTGGCTTTTTTTTTCTTTTTTCTTTAAAGTTTTGGCAGCCTCCATACACTGATGCTATCTTTTGAACTCTGAAGTCTTTGTATCTACAAGAAGTCTTGTTTTTGCTGTTGTTTGATGCTTTTTTCTTTGTCCAGCTGATGAATACATTTTTTATCCTGATTATACTTCCCCTTCAAGTGATATACTCAAGAAAAACAGATTTCCATCAAACTTTAGTCAACAGAATACTTGTAAATCTGGTGAATACTCTTGCTATTCTTAGTATGGTAAAATGGATTAAAACTCCCACGTTTAATTTAATTTATTTCATAATGTTTCTGTGTGGTAGAAGTTGATTAGGCTACTTTATTTGTTCTCATGCCCTTCACCTCAATTATGTTTTTTTTCCTTTTGTTTTTTTAATGAAGACCTGAATCAAAACTACTAGACAAATTAAGATATCCTTTTGAAAAATTTAATGAAAAATAATTTATATTAAATGGTATTTTTGCACAGCAAAAGTTTGCTTTTCTAACTGTTAAGATTCCCCTCCACCCTCTGCCCTCATTCTAGGTTGTTTTCCTGTTATGATTTTGTAGATGGCTTAGATTTTTTTTTTTATTTTTTTTTATTATTTTTTTTTTTTTTGCTATTAGTCTCTTTATTCTGACGCAGGCATAGCATAGGCCTGTTTGTGGATTATCTTTTCTTATCGGTAGCTGTAAGAAGTATTGAGTACTCTTGGGGTTTGGGGGGAAAAAGTATACAGTTGCATTTAAAAAATAAGAGCGAAGATTTATTGCTGTCATTCAGTTGGTTACATCGCAGCCTTCAGTATTCAGGGGTTTTTTTTAACTGACTTATTTCAATGACAGTTGTGAAAGAGAAACTTAAGCAGTTGCTACAATTACTGTTTCAGTGTTGTGTTTAGGTTTTTCTTGTTGTGTTGTAACATTAATTTCATTTTGTTGAATTCTGGTTATTTAGCCAGCTGAATTTTTCTCAAATACTGCATATACTAAAGGTGTCTGCACAAGTTGCATAGGATCAGATTTTGTATTTAAAGGAGTAAAATATCACTGATTAGTGAGGAAAAATGAACATGTCTGTCCTACAGGTATACCTGTGTTTTGCAGTTCTTTAATGGGAGAAACTATATCTTTTAACATTTTCTAACAACCTGATTAGATGTAGAATCTTGATTTATTAACTCTGTAGGTGTTCTTTTTTATGCACAGTCTTTCTTATTTCATAGACTTCTGTTCTATAAGCATGGTGATAATGGTTTAAAAAAGTAGTTTGTCAAGAAAGCAGATAAACTGAGAAAGCAACTAGACTAAATTTTAACTGGGTAAATCTTTACTTTTTTGAAACAGGAGATCAGCAAAATCTCGGAGCAGAAGTCCATATTCATCAAGGCACTCGAGGTCTCGTAGCAGACACAGATTGTCTAGATCCAGAAGTCGTCATTCAAGTATTTCTCCTAGTACATTGACTCTGAAGAGTAGCCTGGCTGCTGAGCTGAACAAAAACAAAAAAGCAAGAGCTGCTGAGGCAGCCAAAGCCAGTGCAAAAGCTTCCAATACTTCGACACCTACTAAGGGAAGCACTGACACTGCTGTAAGTGCACCTCAAGTGAACAATGTAAAGGACCTGAAGAAAATAAAAACTGAGCATACGCCTTCTCCTACAAGCAGTGCAAATTTGAAAAATGACAAGGCAAAAGCAAAGGTCTCACTTCCTGAAGCAAAAGCGGAAAATAATTTAATTGCAGACAAAATTACTAAGCAGAAACCTACAGCAGTAAAAGAGAATAAATTAACTGTTGTAAAACAGCCACCGGCCACTGTAAAAGAGAAAAACAAACCGAGTACACCAAGTGTAGTAACCAAGGAGAAGGACCGAATTGTTGCACTACCAACCTCCACACTGCCACCCTTGCCTTTGCCTCCCACGCTGCCTGAAGATAAAGAAACTGATAGGTGAGTTGTGACATAGATTTGCTTTTGGGGGCTGTTTGTTCCTTTTTATTATTGTTGTTGTTGTTATTGTCTATTCTTTTTTTAATTGTCAGTATTTCCTTTAGAAAACAAATATAATCCTATTTGCTAGATTAGGCTAATGCGTTACGTAGTTTGTTCTTGCTCTTCAGTTGTTTACAGGGCGATTAATAGTGAACTGAAGTAATTTGATCTTAAAATAAAAATAATTTAACTGGTTCTTGAAAAGAAGGATTTAGTTTAGGAGGAATCTTTCAATCAAAAGTACACCAATGAGACAATTTAGAATTGCTGGTACAATAGCGTTGGGACTCATGCAAGAATGCATTCAAGGATTCAGTATTTCAAGTTTGGTATGAACAGGTAAATATTTCTGGGGAAAAGTTAAATTCGGTACCAATATGTGAAAATTCTTAAATTAGTTGGGGTTTGAGGTAAAGATTCTCTTCCCTTTGGAAGGCAATTGTTTTTATAGCTGTGCGTTATTTTAGTATAATTTATCTCAGAGATCAGTGTTGTTTTTAGTGTGTATAACAGAAGTGAGGTTCGTGTCTTGTCATTTGTGTTAACTTTTGAAGAATGATAATTGGTCTGTAGTGAAGTAATAAATGTTTGTATTCTAAATAACATCTGAGTTTAGACTACATTAGGTCTCTTCGTAGTCCTAACAGAGAATACGTGCTGTGATTTGTACTAGAAAATTATGCTGTTGAGCAGTAATTTACTATTTTCCTTTTGCTTTTGGTGATTGAGTTGAGAAGAGTTACTTGTGGTTTTACTCATGGTGTTACATACCTCTCATGTATGAGAAATCAACTTCTCACAATAAGTAAAACCATTTCTTCGCATTGAAGTAATAACTAATTGAAGTGTGATGTATCTTTGTAAAAATGGAACTGTAAAAGAAAAATTCAAAATCTTATGAAGTACTTTTATTTATGTTCCATGTCTGTGTAACTAGCCTGTCTTCTCTTGTCTCTTGAGAAGTGTGTGGTGTTTCTTTGGTTAGTAAAAGTAGTTATAACTAGAGGTGTAAATGTTTCTCTTGTGCTTGTTAGTAATTTAATGCTATGTTAAACATTAGGGTGCACAGGAGGCCTTAGCAAATAAATGCAACCTAACAAGGTATTAGTCAGATACTTTTTTTTTCTAGTAGTAAAAGAGAAATCTTGTTTCTCGCCCTTCAGCACTCTAGCAAATGTCATTCCAGTTCAGAATCACATCTGTGTGGTGAATGTACAGTTGCATTTAAATTTATGACTAAAAGCCATTCTCTCTAAGTAAACGGGATTTCTGACACTGTTATTTGAGAGCAAGACTTACCGTTTTAACTGAAAATGAGGCTGACTAATTTAACTAAATATATGACTGGCTTTGCAGTGTTGATCGCAATAACGTGGAATGAGTTTTCATCTTGAAGCTGACTAATTGCTTCTCATTATTAGTATTTTTTAATGTAATACCTGTTTTAAGTATAGCTAAAATGCACTGAGGAGTTAAGCTACAATTAAACTGTTCTATCAGCACTGGGCTCATTCTTTCAAAAAAAAGCCTAATCTTGCAAACAGCTGCATTAGAAAGATTAATGACAAGTAAGAGAATGTTGGTTATACTTTGCTGAGTTTTGCCTATAGGATGTTATAAACTTTGTATCAGAATGGCTGTGATTACAAGTCATGATAAAATTTAAGTCATCAAAGGAAAATGATCAATGTTTTTAGGGGGGAGGAGGGCAACGATATTTACCTTGGGCTCGGAGTTACTACAGGGAAATTGCGCCGACAAAGAAAGCTTGATGCTATGCAGATCTGGCTGGTTCCTAATGTTGTGTCGGTTGTACAGTTCAGTAAGAATCCGATAAACCCACATATAAACTACCTAAAGGAACAGCAGTGTTGCAAAACCACCATGTAGGTTGGCTGAAAGGGGAAACTGTTCTGGTGGTCAATGATGTGTGATTTAACAGACCTGAAAAAAAGGCTGCCTGTGGCAGTGTACTACCACTGTGTTACCTATCACTTTTAAAATCTGTTTTAGAACCTCTCATTCACTTTCACTAATATTGAACATTTGGGGGCAAAATTGTGAGAGAAATACAAATGCATGAACTTCAAAACTAAGCATTTTTCTTTACCATGACAGCTACATGCGCTGTACAAAGGTGTTTTATTTTTTATAGCACGCTAACCGTTACATATGTGATGAGGGCAGTGGATGCTTCCTTGAGGAGCCTCTTTAAATTCAGGCGGTAGCAGCTTGAGAAACGTTAGAAGACATTGAAGTGTTCTGTTTTCATGGGGAAGCATAGCCATGCAAAACACTGGAGTGCTTTATTTAATTTTATAAAGACTGCTAAGTGTGATTAATGAGAGAAAGAAAATACGCATTTTCTGTCATGAAAGATAGCGAGATCTTTCCATTTACAGAAGCTCCTGCTTTTTATCTATTAAACTAAGTAGATGAGAAGTTGCAGGAAATCTCCAGAAAAGGATGCTGACAGTAGAATAGTGCGGTTTGGCAAATAGAGCTATCTTGGAAAATGTCCCCTCAGAGCATGACGGAAAGTTTTCTTGATGCAGTGACAAAGTTTGAAATGTAAAGAGGTAATAGTGTATGAGAGTCATGTGGGGGAGAAACAGTTACGTAATTATGTAGAGATGGTCATGGCTTTAAAGCTGCTGGATGTACAGTAGCTGCAGAAATGTAGCTAAACTAAAGGAAGTATTGGTAAAATGGAACCATGTATTTAAAAAAAAAAATACCACAGCAAGTATGATGCTTTCAGAATTTTCCCATTAGAATGGGAAGAGCACCTCTAGAATTCTTGGGTGTGGTAATTGTTAAAGGAATACGTTGCTCTACATGTGTTTGGGGGATTTTTCTCAAGACAGAGATCAACTGTCAGTATCTGTTACCCAATTACGGTTAATGATTAAAAAATGGTCAGGTATTAGTAACGCATAGCAGAAAAGCATTTAGTCATTTTTTCATCTGATCTTTTTTTTCACTTGATTTGTATGCTTATCGCTAGGAACATGTTGAATCTGGAGTGCTTCAGCAAATGTATGAGATTGGAATCTGTAAATGAGGTGTTGTGGACTGCTTCTTAATGCCCTGCACTGTTACTGTAACCATGAAGCCTGTTATCTCTGGAGAGCAACATTACAGTGAGCTGGATTAGGTTTTTATGAGAAGTCAGAGTACCAGTTTTACCACTACACTTCTGATGTCTGGCAGCACCTGAGCTCTAAATATTCTTAATAGTCTAGGCCATAAGCTCGAGAAAAAGTTTGTGTGGCAGAAGTCTGGGCTGGTAAGGCTTGCTGTGTCATCTAACCTCAGCTTTCACCAGAAAGATTTGATTTCATAATTACTGTAGAATTTTGGTAGTTAGCTGTGCCTCTTGCAGAGGGCTGCTTGTGAGCCGTGTGTAAAGAATAAATCAAAGGCCTGCAAATTCTAAGAGCAGAGACTTCAAATGTTCATGCATCGACAGCCTAGAATGTATTTAAAAAAATAATTCCAACAGGTTTTCCTTTATGTATGTTAATATCATTCTGTTGTGTTCAATGTACTAGCAAAATTGTGTCTTTTTCAATAGTTTGCGAGAGAATCTTTCTGTGAAGTCAGTTAAAGAAGCAGAGAAGAAACTTCGCCATCTGCTTGCAGACTTGCCACTTCCACCTGAGTTGCCTGGAGGAGCTGACTTATCCAAAAGTCCTGAAGAAAAGAAACCAGCAGTTCAGTCACACAGCAAGAGAAGACCAAAGTATGTTTTAGACTTTTTTTTTAAAGCCTATCGAGCAAGTAGAAGTGATAATAGTTTCTTTAAAATATATTATTTTTAAAGGTTTCTGCTTTTTAATTACTTTTTCAATATTATTGAGGCTTGAATCAAACTGCATGGTTTATTGCCACTTAATGGTTATCTAATAAATATTCGGTGTTGAGGTTTTTTTCGAGGTTAAGACAATCCTTAGATATATTAGCTGTATTCTTAGAAATGCTTCTTGTTTTCTAGAATATGTGGACCACGACATGGTGAAACAAAAGAAAAAGAAATAGACTGGGGAAAGCGCTGTGTGGATAAATTTGATATCATTGGTATTATTGGTGAGGGCACTTACGGGCAAGTTTACAAAGCCAGAGATAAAGACACAGGTAAGTTCAAAAAAGCAAATGTAATCTTACAGTTCTAAAAGGAACAGGATATTCTGATTTTGTTTTTATGTTGAGTATTCTGCCCTCTAATGTCTCCAATAGTCACTTGCTGATAGTGGGAAGAGAATCTGCCTCTCTGCAACACAGCCCTGAAGTGTTGCATGTTGGGTGTTTTTCTTGTAGTGTAACTGACTTTTACGGCATTGAGATAATTTTTAAATTTGATGTTAAACTATTCCTCAAATGAGCAAGCAGTCACCACTATGATACTTAAGAATGTTGTCGCTACTTCTAAATAGATGATGCATTGAAATTGATTCTTCATATGTTTTATGTTCAATCAGTAGTTCTTTCTGTGACTGCTTGCCCTTCTGACTTATTTGTGCATGCTTTGAATGCTGGATGATTTTCTACTTCAGCAGTAACTGAATCACATAGGATCATGTACAAGCCTCAGTTCCTTCTCTCTGATCTGCAGAAGAATGAGCAGTGTAATTATAATTCATTCTTCACCTATGCTTGTCTCAGCTTGCAAACTTTAGTTCTTAAGTTGAACAGTCACAGATCTTATTTTTTATCTCCTACCTTGAGAACCATTGCAAACAATTGTTAGGAGCTTCCTCCTGTTCTCCTGCAATTCAGTTCTTCGCACATTTAACTTTTTAATCCTATCACAACCATATGCCTCTTTGGCAAGTTTCAAATTATTTGTGTGTGGCAGACATTTCTTAACCTCCAATAGCAGTTGTCGCTCTTTGTATTGAATGGATCCATACAGTTATAGCAAACCTGCCATTAGCTTTGGATTCAAATCCTGTGTGGAGAGAGGCATTATGGCCTCTGAGGTACCTTATAACAAGCTGTGCAATGGGCTTTCATAGCAAGTGGACTTTGTGTCATACTGGAATGTGATCTACTGTATGTGTGTCATATACTCTGATATGGGTACATCCTTTTTAGAGCTACCAAAGAAACCTGTGCTGTCCATAAACTTCCCAGGCACAGCAATAAACTTTCAAGAGCAAAATGATTGAGCTGACATACAGTCTTTAGATATCCTCCGTCATGAGTAGATCGTGCTCCTGCCATTTTGCAAAATCTAGCCTCATCCAACCCAGCCTGCAGTAAAATAATAAGGAAAATTCCTCCTCACTGTAAACATGGCAGTGACATTCTGTTTGTAAAAATTATACTGATGAATTCGAGAACTCTTTAGTTGTCTGCCTCATATCTTGAACTATGTAGTATTTCTGGCTAGATATATGTGTTATGACCTGTGGTGGTGTAGTAATAAGAAATCCAGAGCAGACCTAGGCATCTGTCTCTAAAGTTGCTGTTGGTAATCACTCTTATATGGGGGTTTATTGATAGACCCAGTGTGGAGTATCAGATGCAGGTGAGTGAGGTATGCAGGAGGACTTAAGAGTGGGTAGCTGAAAATTCTCATTTATAGTTTTGCTTCTTCATGAGATTGTTTCCCAACAATGGTTAATTCTGTTTCCATTCAGCATAGTGTAATCATGAAAATGTTAACTGTTTAATCCATTCAGAAATAGTAATAGATGAGAAGGGTTTTAAAAACAAATGAGCAAACTCAATACTAAATCCCATAGTTTGGTTGCTAATCTTAATGGTTTTTATTTAAATTTTCTCGTAGGGGAAATGGTGGCACTAAAGAAAGTACGTCTGGATAATGAAAAGGAAGGGTTTCCAATTACAGCTATTCGGGAGATTAAGATTCTTCGACAGCTTAATCACCAAAGCATTATCAACATGAAGGAAATAGTGACAGATAAGGAAGATGCTTTGGACTTCAAGAAGGACAAAGGTATGTAGGCTCACACAGGGATAGCTCTTTCTGATCCCATTCTTAGTACGGTAGTCTGCTACACTGGACTTGAAGTTAAGCTTCATTAAAAAATGTTTGCAAAATATGTGCTTGACAAGGGGGTTTAATTTTGACTTAATGACTAATAGGAGTCCTTTATTTAACTGAGCTATGCTTTCTGCTCATAGAAAAATTTTTGCTAATATTTATATATTATATATAAAATAATGGGGTAAAAAAAATGTATTGACTCCAGTTTTGCTGGAGAGGAACAGATGTTTGACTCCTTGACATTCGCAGATTAGGGAGGCCAGCAACAATAGGAAGCTCTTAATTGTGAACTTTTTTAGCCTTTTATGTTTCTTGTAGTTTTTTGTCATATCATTTAGAGTATTGTAGGCTCAGTGCTGAAGAGATGTTTTTCATTGTAGGCCTTGTTTTTATTTGAATTGTGCTTCAGTTATTTTTTTTCATAACTGGGCATGTGCATCTTGAAGGCTAGAAGAAGGATAAATGAAAAAAATGGAAAGCAAGGTTTGTGTGGTTGTGGTTTTCCCCAAATAGAAGGCATGCAGACTTCTACTCTCTACTCTTTTGGTTCCCTCATTGTTAAGTCTGGCTTGTTTGAGTTATTGCAACCTCCTTAGCTTAGAGCATCAAGCAAACAGCGGGGAAATTATGCAGTATTGTTGCTTGGTACTTTTGATATTGGAGTGGTCATTTTGTCTTTGGAGGCTGTTTCTTTTTAGGTCCAAGTCTTATAAACCTATTGATTTTGGGTATTTTGGTGTCCTGTGGGCAATTTGATATGTGGTTTGGCTGAGGAGGGTGTTTGGTATGTGGTACCTGTAATTCTTCCCTAATCCTTCCCTGACTTTCTGTGCAGCATGCCCAGCACCAGTGTGGGTTGAAAACACTGGTGTGTGTACTGCATAGCCAGCAGAAACACCAGGTGACATTGTGATGAGTCAGAAAATGGCTGTCAAAATTAAGCAGGAATTAGTTTGGGGTTCTTTTCCTAGCATCTTTAGGAAGTATAATGCCTTGAAGAGTGCACAGCACTGACAGGCTTTTTTTGTTGCATTTAAAAGTAGGAAGCATCTAGCAAAACAGTTTTGCTAGATAGTGCAGGTTCAGTGGTCAGCACCAACCCTGAACCCCGACAGTCTGCAACAGCCAGTTTAGGCTTTTCATATGAATCTTGTACTGAGTTTTAATTAGGTCTAACCCACTTGGCTAATGAGACCACACTGAGCCTTGACTTAATACTTAATGACTCATTAATTAATTCTCTCCCTTTCTGTTTGGTGCCATGTCTAGGATTGAATTGTAAATTTTTTTGGTGTACTTCAAACTGTGTGTCTCATTAATTTCAAATGTATTTTTTTTGTTCAAGTCTGTATTTGTGCTTTTGATTTGCTTTCAGTTTAATTTCTCATTCTTATTTAACAGCTTATTAAAACAATTACATTTTCAGAAAATTTGCAAGGGAAGGGGTTTCTCTGGAGATACTAGAATAAAATTAGTTTCTGATAGTCTCTTGAAAGCATTAGCATGATAATGAGACTGTGCTATTATGATTTGTCTGTGAAAAGATGGAAGTTGGGTTTTTTTCAGGCATTGCATTCTGTATTTCTCTAATGAGTAGTTCATTGTGAGATAGGGATTTATAGCTGAGACATTGTGGCCAAGTTGTAGACTATGCAGGGAACAAATGCAAGTAGGAGGAAGTTTCGTCATTTTCACGGTAAACTATTGCAAACACAAAAGTAGGCTGCTTGGCTTAAGAAGGAAATGTTATAAAAGCGATAATGATGTCTTATTCGGGCAGAGCTTACAGTAAAAGCAAAGCGTTTTGTCCTCTGATGAACATGCTTATCTTAGCGTTGAAATACTGTTCTTACAAAACCCGGCTAACACCCATTTGTGAAAGTAGGGAGTGAGAACATTTCTGACAACACATGTTCCTCTAGTTAATATAAGTAAAGTTAGTTTTGTGTCTAACACACCTATCATATCGTGACCTATTACTTGTCTACTTATTGACTTAAGGGTTTTTTTGGTTGGCTCTTAGTAGTTTAAAATACAGAAAATTTAGTTTTCTGTCAGTTGTGTAAGTATTGGGCACAGTTTGTACAGTGCTTGTTTTAAGGATGCTTTTTAAGATAGTAACATTGGTCTGCAAACCAGCAATGGCTTGGCTTGTACAACTTCGTCCTGATACTTTGAGCTGTGTTATATGTTTTTGAGTGACACAATCCTATGTCTTCTGAACTTTTGAGTATTTGACTTGTCCAGTATTTTCAGCATCATTTTACTTTTAAAGAAAGTAGAAGAAAAGTGTATCTGTGTTTTATCCTGGCCAGCTTAGGGGTAAATTTGACAATAGGAACAGCAACACATTGGAGTTGTACATATATTATAAGGGCATTTCTATAAGTGGAAATAACGGACATCGAACGGCACGGTTGTTTGTATAGGCCAGGCACGTACACAGTTGAGTGGGCGCTACATGGGTCTGCTATACTGAAGATCTGAAGTTTTTACTTTTGCAGTCCTCATTATGTAGAAGACATCTTTGATGATAAAGTTGGAGAACAGCATTACTGATTACTAATAAGTAATGTAACATCTTGATTCTGAGATATGATCCTGCCACATAAAACGTGTTTGTTGGGTGTGGCGAGAAGGAGTATCCATTTTGTATGTTTCTCATGGAGGTTTTTCTCCCCTACCTATCATTCAGAAGGTACATGTAGGCTCATGTGAGGTGAACGCACAAGGGAACACGACTCATAGTTTGTGTTGTCTTGCGTGTGTATCTGCGTAACAGCTGTCTTAAAAAGAAAAGTCTGCTGAACATACTATTAAAACCTCCTCTGCCTCTCGCAGGACATAAAACCTCATTTGACTTGACAGCACCAATGAGCTATCGTTTCCATTCAATTTTTTCCTATAATCTTAGAACTCTTGTTATTTCTGTTGAAAATGTTTTCTTCTAGTGAACTAGTGCAGGAGCAATTGTGGGTGTCAGTCCTGACAGCAGTAGAAGCAGCCTAACACTGCTGGTGCTTACAACCAAGTCTGTTGGCAACTAAATTTTTCTTCACTCTTCCTTCTTGTTTGCTTGATGGTAGTTCAAATTAATAGGAGTTCATGTTCATGAACTTCAGTTCATGTCCTTTCAGAGCAGAGTTTGGAGCAGGAGGATTGTACTTTGCAGAAACTCTTCTCAGTGATTTTTATGTCTAAGAAAGTTTGTGTGATGTTCCCTGTGCAACAGCAATTGAAGAAAACAAGATGTAAAACAACTTGAAAACAAAGAGCTATTTCCTAGGTAAATTCAAATCTATACATTTCATAAGCTAAGTTAGTTGAGCCACTTCATCATTTACGAAGTGAATCATTGGAAAAAAAGGCCCTTCTTACTTTGGGCTTTTGTCAGCTCTGTTTTGTTTTCTCAGTGAGTCTGTCATTTATATTACTTAGGTGTCTTTCTCTGAGTACCTGAGATGACCCTTCAGTTCTCACTTGCTTCTTTATCAGCTATAAGCTGTTTGCAGTCTAGCTATAGGACTGCCATGATCTCTCTTTAATAAACCCATGGAGAGTGCCTGACAGCTTTTGTTGCTATTAAGGTAAAACCAGTAGGTGTACTGACTGGCATCTCTTCCTCCTTTTGAATGGAAGAGGCATTTTTAATTGCTAAGCTGAGGGAGGATGTAAAACTTAGCATGGTAGACTCTAATAAAAAAGATGTGGTTAACATCACAGCTTGGTGTGGGTTTTTTTGGTTGGTTTTTTTTTTGTTTGTTTTTTGTTTGGTTGATTGGTTTGGGGTTTTTTCCTGTGTGTTGATTATCTGCTTGGATTGTGCGTGTGTTCCTGTAATTCATTTTAAGATCTAAGTCTACTTTAGATAGATTAAATTTTGAATTTATTTGCAGTACAAATTAACAAATCTTTCTAGGCATGAAGTATTTATCTCAACAGTATTGTAGTACACGTGTCAAAAGGACACTGACTGTGACTAGCAGGTTACTTTCTCACAGCCGTCAAGGAGTACTTTGAAAGCTTGTGGTTTGGAAGGAGTCTGTGACAGCAATCACAGTTATCAGAATGTACTTCACTACAGGGTTCCTTCTCGTATCTTAGCTAGCTTTATCTGGTATTTCTGGGAAGTTGAGTAAAACCAAGCTGATGTGAATTTCAGAAACTCTAATGTAATCTACAGCTTGCCTTGCTGCTCTTGAAACAGCTGATGGAAACTTCTTACCCAAATAGTATTCATGCTACAGCTAAGTTATCAGGAATTGTGTGGCTGCTTGAGTGGTGCTTCCCATTTGCATGTGCTCTACTAGACTCTGGTCTGGAATGAGTGCAAACCTAATTGTGTGGCTTTTCAACTTGATCCATGTTATTGCAAAATTAGAAAAGTCCCTGATTATTAATCAAAGATTTCTGATGTGTTTGGTTTGCTTTTCCTCCGCTTTTAAGTTTTCTGTTTGGTTTTTTATTTCCCTGTAGTATGTGATGAAATGAGGGCGATATTTACTCCCAGGGCTTCTGTATGCCCTTCGCTGGTATGCCTGTTTCAGAACATGTTTCTATGCACATGGAGTTTAGGTTGGATTTGTTTCAAGAAGATAATTTAATTGAACTTTCAATAGAAAAATAACACTGTCATCAAATAAAACCTTAACACTGGGTGAAAATGTAAAAAAAAAAAGGAAAGTTCTATTTTTTATTAGACTACATTTGCCTTAAACAGTAAGTTTTGTGATAGCTAAATGGAAAAATGAGCATAGCAGTGATGCTTTCTTAAGTCATTAGCCTTTATTTGGTATTTTGCAAATTAGAAAATAGGTTTGTAAAATATGAGTAGAAAGGATGAATATCTCTTTAAGGGACTATAAGGAATTTAAATGTAAGGAACTTAAAGGAATTGCTGGACAGTTTCTTATTTAATTTTCAAGGTTTGTTTGATAAAATTCTGTTTAAAACTGTCTGGGAATATAGCGTATCATGAGTACCATAAGAGAAATGTTAAGGAAATGGAAGAGTAAACATAATCCAATTATCTTCAATCAATCAAAGGGAAAAAAAAAAAAATCTATGTGTTGCCTAGAAGAAGCTGAGGAGGCTTATTAGTGAAATGAAAATCTGATGGAGTCTCATTCTGAACTGTGAGTACAGAACAAAATGTTGAAAACCTGTTCAACAACTCAGCATTGTACATAACATGCACTGAATAAGGCAGGGATCCTTTTTTTTTTTTAAGCATTTTTGTATTTCAAGATACTATTGTAACGATTGAATTAAAGTTTGCACATAATAAGGCACTTCTGGTCTCCCAGTTCCTCTGATCTGTATCTAATCGGATATTTCGAGAAACCTCAAACACTTTCCCTATAAAATTACATTTGGAAAATATTTACTTAAAAGATGTCATCTATGTAGGCTTTTGGATCATTCTCCCCTGCTGCTCTCTCCCTCCCCCCCCTCACCCGTCCAGCCCGAAGCACTTGTATCTTATTTTGGGAACAAATTTGTAACTTGATGTCCTGCTTTGTTGGATCTGTGTGATTTGATGACAGTCCAAAAAAATCCAGAGCCTGTCTGTGTCACAAAAATGCAAAGTATGTTTTTTTTATGTTTTTGGCCCCTCAGAAAATCCTTTGTTTATTACAGGTCATCAGTGCTGTGTTTTGTTGAGTTACCCATTTTGTGTGCATAGCTTTACAGCACTATACCCCAGCTCATTTTGTGTTGTGGTTAAGAAAACTGCTACTGTTAGAGCTCCATGACTTGAAATATATAAACAGGAGGAGATGTGTTAATCGTTTAATTATTCTAAAGCAGTATCTCACTTTTTGACCCTTAACAATCTTAACTGACAAAATGGTCCAAAAGATGGATTTTCAAAATGCAAACAAAAGGAGTAAGGGAAGAATTGTTTCCATCCATGTGAGTCTCCTTTCTTTATTGTGTACCTCCCTAATAGATTCAGCTGCTCTTATCCCATATGCAGAAGTAGGCACTATTACTACTGTTCAGCTGTTCCAGCTGCTGCTCTGTCAACATGCAGTGACATTAAGTTTTCTTATTATTTTAGTAGATGAAGGAATGGAGATGAGCTTGCATGGTATTAGCAAAAGAAATGGGGCACCCAAAACATAAACGCCCCGTTAGTGCTTTGTTGCAGCATGTGGAAATGGACTGTATGCTGCCTCCCACCCTGCAGGTACTGATTTACTGGGAAGTGCAGGTCTTTAACGTTACTTATCTTCCTGCTGTTATGTTACAGTCAAATAAGTAATTCTGTGTTCATTTGAATTGCATGTGCTTTACTGTAACAGAGCTCTAGGTGTTTTTATGACACTGTTTCCAGAGACGTGGATATTGGGCAAAGCAAGCATGAAACAAAGGGTCATTTTTAAAACGTAACCTCCAAGTTATCAAATGCCTTGGCCTCATAAAAGAAAGAATTACTATTTTTTCTGTTACGTTTTCCATCTGAGAAATGGATATTTGTGTGGCATTTGTTTTGATAGAACTAAAGGATGCTGTAAATTTGAACTCGGATGATGCTGTAGTAAGCAGACTTCTGCCTGTGCATAGTTCACTTGTGAAGTCTTCCATGACTTTTCTTCCTGAACATCTGTAACTTCTTTCCCTGTTATGAAGGATGAGATCACCCGATCTGATGAAAAGCAGAGGAGATTTGAAATGATCAAGTGGAATAATGTAACCGCTTTGTTGACCAAAACTGTAGATCTCTATTAGAAAAGGGCACCATATTTGTTTAGAAATAAACTAACAGAAGTTTCACTTCAGTTTGCTTGAGACCTTTTTTGCAGCTGCAATAACTTCCAAATATAGTTTGAGTAATACTAAAAATCAGGTTTTAGTGGTTAGACTGCTAAGGCTAGTAGACTAATTTTAATAGTTTCTCATAACCAATGAAGAAGATTCAGCTTTGACAGTTTTTCTTTTTAAAATAAATACTAACATTGTATAATATGTAGGTAGTAATGCACAAGTGTAATGGATCCATGCATTTGCTCTTGCTCTGGCATGGAAGGAACATTTAGCATTTATGCTGTTCTAGTGTATGTTTCTTAATGAGAGTTGCAGAAAATATAAATCAGTGGATGTCATCTCCCAGGTACTACTCTGTTTTATTTATGAATTATCTTCACTGTTGTCAGCTTTCCTTCTTGCATGAGGGTACCAATTGTGATTGCTGGTTATAAATAGTGTTGAAAAATCCCAGGAGCTAGTGGCAGAGCAGGAAATTGCTCAAGGCATGGAGCCTACTTTGCATATAAACAAGAAGACTGTGTTCAGCTGTTCTCACTAAAGAGGTCTGCAATCCCAGTGACCCTTCCCAGTCTTTCTCCTTGTCCATGTACACACAGAGTGTAGCCTGCTGCCATGACAGAGTTAACTGCCCTTTGTATTGCAGAGCGAGAAGATACCAGGATCACTGCTGTTCAATTTTGTTGAGCTGACATCCTCTGAAGGGCCTATCTAGATTATTCTGGCACTGCAGCATTAATATCAGGTGTTTTGTTTCAAGGCATTTTGAAATATGTCATGGTTCATATATAGAAGTTCTCAGTTTAGTAGACCTAACACCAGACTGCCAGCTATCTTTTAACTCAGTTATGCAAATAGTAACACTGCAGCCTTTTGGTTCTTTATGACTCTTAATACTTATTTCTTTCCTTTGGAAGTGGTGGGATTGGGTTGTACCTGCTTGATTTACCTTCTACTCTGCTCCACTTCCTCTGTACACACGAGGCATATTTTATGATCAGTATTTTGCTTCCTCAGTATAACATACAGCAGGACAAAAGGACCTAAATTAAAAACAATGAACTCTGAGTGTCTTACGTAATGGCCTGTGGTTTAGCTGCTCTACACTGATCTTTGTTACAAGTTTAACACTGTATGAGTAATCTTCTTGATGTTTGTTAAATAGCAGATAGATTTAGCACTCTTTCTTCCCTTTTCAGCTACTATGCAAGAAAACAAGTCAGTTCATTAGAATTTGGCTGTGTGTGTATGTTCTGGCAAGCTGACTTCTCATTATTGCTCCAAGACTTTCACTAGCTTCTGAATGGGAACTTCTCATTTAGGAACTAGAACCTGTAGTGAGTTCTTGTTCGGCAGAAGCTATTTGTACTTTAGAGTGGTGGCTTTGAAATCTCTTTGGGAGAGGCTTTTTAAAATGGAAGGTAGACAGACCCTCTTGAACGTAGTTTCTGCATTGCCACCGGTGCTCTGTAGGGACTGCACTGTCTTCTCTGCCCCAGAGTTAAGAAGAAAGGGAAGATTAAGTACTAAAAAGTAGACCATACTGGGAGTGGTTATGCTGGAGGTGGGTTATTGCTGCTTCTGAAGCACTCGACACTTTACCTCTTTAGGGATACTTACATATATCACAGAGCATTGGCTTTAATAGCTTTATTTGTGGAGTTACACAGGCTAATGTGAGATAAGACCAGATTCTATTATGTTTAATGTATGCGTGTGGCAAATGGAGTACAAACTCTGTCTTTGCAGAGCTGCTGTTGCTAGTAGGTTAGTTCTGCTTTCTCATTTTGTCCTCTCTTATAGATATTTTTAGTCTGAGAAGGGCAGGCTTATTTCTGACCCAATTCCACTCTGAAAGCTTAAAAAAATCAGTCACCAGATCATGACAGATGAACTAATGGTGTACACATTTTGTTTCTAGATATCTCCCCAAACTCTTTATAGGCAATATTAACCCAGTTAATTTTTCTTTAAAATGGATGGAGATTGAGCACCATAGGGAGAGTATATGTCCATCTAGATTAAAGCACCGTGTGGTAGCATTATATTTGTTTTCACAAACGTTTGACTCGTATAACTGGTTACATGGAAAAGCAATTTTATGAAAACATTTTACTGCAGTGTATTTCACTGCTGTTATTGGACATGAGGTACAGCTATAAATACTGCAGAAAATGTAAACAGTTGGTAAATAATACTTCCAGCTTTCAAAAGTAGGGAGCAGCAATGCTTTGGACTGCTGATAAATCAATTTCTCTCTCTGTTTCTCCTACCCTTTCTTTTCCTAGGTGCATTTTACCTGGTATTTGAGTACATGGACCATGACTTGATGGGACTGCTGGAATCTGGTTTGGTTCATTTTAATGAAAATCATATTAAATCTTTCATGAGACAGCTGATGGAGGGCTTGGCCTATTGCCATAAGAAGAACTTTTTGCACAGAGATATCAAATGTTCAAATATTCTGCTAAATAATAGGTATGGATATTACTTAAAAAATTTGTATGTTAACAACATCTTTAAATCTTTCTTTTAATCTTCACAGTTCACCTGCTTTTAAATCATTTTAGCAAAACGTTTTTTTTTAGATTGCCCTGTTTCTTTAAAATCAATTGTAAAATGCTAATCTTGTAATGTTACTGCTTAACACTGGATACTGCAGTTGTTTGTTAAACTTAACCTGTGTTAAAATGGCAGGATTAAAACTTGAATCTTCTAGGTCAGAGTATGGGGGAAAATTATCTGAGTTCAAATATATTAAAATAGAATTTTAGGACATAAGTGTTTGACGTGTATTTTTTTGCCATCTCATTTCAAGATGAAGTGCGGCTAGGCTGGTTCTTTGTGATACAATTCTGAGGTCTTTATCTTCACCAGTCAGGATAATGCTTTAAAAGAATATTCGATCAGGCGTTTTCAAACATGCTTTGGCTTCCAGTTATAGCCGTGATCAGATGGCAGTAAGAATTTGTTTCTTTTTTAACCCCTTGTCATTACAAATCATATTAGTAAACATGCTTTTGTTCAGTGTGCAACAGCAGCAAATAAAAAGCTTGTGTGAAGATAACGGATAACTCCAGTACAGAGCTCTTGTTTGTCAAATCCAGCAGTACTAAAATCAGGGAGCATCTGTAAGAGTGAGGTGTATAATAGCAAAAGAGTATCTTTACAGAGGAGTAGTTAGCTTCTGGGATTTGTTGTCACAGGAGTTTTTCTGGGTAGTGTCAAGAGATTCAAAAAGATGAAACACATTCATGGACAGGAACATTAACACCTGCTAGGAATACCTGTTTTAGCATCCTTAACACAATGATTGGTGGGTGGTGGTGAAGTACAAGGAAGATGAGCCCCAAAGTGAGCAGGTTCACATTTTCTCCCTAAAAATCTTTTGCTGCTGTTGGAGATTAAATACTGGGCAAAATGGATCAAGGATCTCTTTTCGTACAGCCCTAGTTTTGCCCCAACTTTCTCCAAATTAAATTTTCCATTTTTTCCTCATTTTTTTTCTTATAATGAACTAGCATTAGACTATCTTCAGCTACTAAACAGGTGCACACATGCCTCTGCATCACTCACTTTGCCCATGCACCTGATCTTGCTTGCCGTCTCTGTGCACCTTTGGGAACTCAGACGCTGAGGTAGAACCTGACAGCGGAGAAGAGTTCATTATGGTAGAGGTGGAACTTACTGTTGTACTCTGCTCTCTCCAGTCCAGGATACAGAGTTTTTCCCCCTAGGATATTTTTTGAGCACCCTTAGATGTTTCCACTGGAAGAAGAAAAAGTTGATAGTTGATCTGAATCGTTTTAAGCCAATGTTTCTAAAATCCCATTACCAGTTACAGCCTGAAGTCAAACACATGGATTATAGATATTTTAGATATGCAACTTAAATGTCTTCGCTCAAAAATTCACTGAGGAATAAGCATGTAAGTTTGAGGGGACCATTTCTTTGTTTGAGGGAAAAAATGGAATGGAAACTATAACCTATATATTTTTTTATCACAAAATGATCATTCTTACACGTATCAGCAGGTCTGGCCCTAATTTGATAAAGCAAAATTTAACTGAAAGTTGACATTTGCATGTATTTGAAAGTGATGGGAGTTTTAGAAGCTCATAAGTACAGAAAAACAAAAGCACCTTTTAACACTCCTACATTTCTTTCATGTATTAGAGAAGCTTGCAGATAGTTTTCTGTTGAAATCATCCAGACTCTACAGATGGTGGGGACTTCTGGGCATTGGTGCCTTTTAGCTGTGGAAACTGCCAGGCAAGAGCTCTGTGTCTTCTACTATTCCCCTCATATATGGGAAAACTCAAGAAGGGGTTAGGGGTTGTGTCATTCAGCAAGTTGGCTGCTGGCAAAAATAGAAGCCCTTATCTGGTTGGTCACTCTGATTTAAAGGCTATATTTAAACTTTACAAGAGCAGGAACAGGACTTTGATGATTTCCCAGAAGGAAGTACTATTGCTGATAGTTGTTTGTTGTACAAATGCTTATGCTAGCAGTAAGGCATGAGAAAATAGCAGTTTCCTTCCTCATTTTTTTTCCTGCAGAATTACTGATTTGAATACTTTATAGTATACACCTAAATTTTGACTGACATCTGGTGATGTAAATGCCATTTGATGAGCATACCTAATTTTGCTTATTTGTCTTTGCTATTCAGTAAGTTACTGTATTTTATTTACTGCATATATTGCAGGGTGTCGCTGCCTCATTAATGAGGTTTGGTGGCAATCAGTTGGAGCTGACTCAATCTCAAACTTCACCTGATGTTTGGGGAGGAAATCTTAACAGGATTAACCACTAAATAATTCTTTGCTTTTTCCACCAGAGGGCAGATAAAGCTTGCAGATTTTGGGCTTGCTCGGCTGTACAACTCTGAAGAAAGGTAAGATATAATTATACTGTGAAAAAGCATTCAGAAATTTAATCTTTTTGCATAACTCTGAGGGCCAGAAAAGAAGACTTTTCATTAGAGGAGATGTTATTGTACTTCAATACAAGTAATTACTTAGGAAATGGAAAGAAGTGCATGTTGTCTTACACTGCATAAAACCACAAAACTCTCTTTGTGCAAGTGTATTACTTTTCCAGGTGTTTTGGATAAATAACTGTAGAGAGTGGCCATATATTGACTGGAAATGTAAGAGTTGCAGTCCCAAGTAGGTTGCATCAATATGTAGGTTTTTACTGTTAGTTTCTGGTCCTGTTAACCTAAAGCGTATTCTTTCTGTTGGTACACCTAGGAATAGTTTATTTAGGGAAAGCGAAATTTTTTTTGCTGACACAAATTAGTATACAGTTTCTTTTCAAAAAGCATTACTTTTGTGTAAGATCTAACCTTATATTTGAAGAGGTTCATTGTATTCTTTAGGCAGTCAGTGCTGTTTAATCTGCTGGAAACAGAGATACAAGTTTAAATAAAAGTTACTCTGAAACTTCTTGTGACTTGTGCTTCTGTTGTTCTTGGCTTCATTATGCTTATACTCCAGGAAACAGGTGCACAGTTTTTATGATTAAGAACATCAGTATTTATATTGCAATGTCATGTGTTTGTCATGTGGAACTGGATTTTCAAAACTCAGGCTGAATGTTCATTACGATAGTATGTACGTTGGGTGGTTGGAAACAGAGAATATTAGCTACCTGAACTTACTTTGATTTCTGCATGCCTACTTTGGGAAATAATAATCATAATGTTAGGTTTATGAGTATCTTGTTTTCTCACAGAGCTCTGAGCTTGTGTTGAACCTGATAGCATTAGTTTCACTGTCTTCTGAGCTGTTATTTCAAGAACGTATGCTTATGTACAGTTCTGAAAACTGTTGAGTATAGTAGCAGGGTAAGATAATCTTAAGCAGCTGCTGGATAATTAATTTTTGGTTTGGATGTACTTATAATAAAAAGGGATTGATGCCGTCCTACCTTCTTATTTTAACATGCACCAAACTGACCTAGTTTGTTTTTTATCTGATTTACCTTTTTTTTATGTCTGTTTTTAAATTAATGTAAATTTTGCTTGTAAAACTGTTCATTAAGAATTGAACAATTGAAAGTTCAGTGTCTTTATAGTGCAAATAACAGATTTTACTATACATGAAATAGCAACATTATTATGCCATTATACATAAACAAAACCAAGATTAAAATGTAATTATGCCAGCTAATAGAATTGCCAGTTGAACTTGGGAGGATAATTAGAATCTCATTAGTAGATTTTTGAGAATTCTTTTGTCATTCATTTTCCTTCTGAGTGGCTTCTGACCTGTGGTAACAGACGTAATTAATGTATACTAACAAGTGTATAATAGCTGCTGCTTTAAATTAATGTATTTTACATTTGTTTTACTGTTGTCTAGAATTCTATACTTCTCAAAAGGGTACAGGATTTAGTCAGAGCATAATGGGGAGGAAATAAAAAATTAATTTTAAGTAAATTCCCATCGGTTGTTGTAGTTGTGCTCTTTTAAATGTGACTCTGGTGGATTGAATATGTTTGGAGTAGGAGATACAACAGATTGTGTAAGAAAACATCTGTTCAAATAAAAAGCACCGTATACTGATATATATGAGTGGTGTATCTGTAGAGAAAGTCCATACCATGTAAACATTTCATAGAGGAATGCTTGCTTCAGAGATAAAAATGATAAATGATGGGATTGTTTCCAAAAACATACTACATTTTAAAAATGAATTGGGGAGTTTCTTAATGAAAAAAGACTTGGGTCATTTTGCAGAAATGATGCCTGTACCACTAAGTATGTTGTAAGAGCTTGTTAGACTTTATGCTACAGTTGTTCGAACTCCACACTTAATGTTACTCTGCTTTCTATTTGGAATTGCCTAGTGTTGGTAAGAGTGAATTATTAAAACTGAAAGAATTCTGGGGTCCCTTTTAAGACACCTCGGTTGAAACAAAACCAAAATCTGACATCTGTTTTCTGCCTTCCATTCTGAACTATTGATGCTGTCCACAAAAAAAATGTGTGTCTAAGATAGTGGAAATCCTTGCCTTAGTGTGAGGGTGGAAAGGATTATTCCCAGTGACCAAAACTTCCGGTTAGAACTGTAGAGAATTAAAAATGTTGTGAAATGTAGGAAGATACTGGAAGCGTTCCAGGCTTTGGAATCAAAATCGTTGAAGGATGTAGTTCAAGAAAAAGGCTTTTTCTCTTTTGCTCTTACTTACAGAGGGGAAAGTGACTTTTTTCCTTCTTTTCAAAATGCTTGTAGAGGTACTATATTCAGTATGCTAACAATCAATGGTTGCCCAGAAGTTACTGGTTTTATCCAAGCAGGTCCTTCTCCTGGAATGACTAGCAATGTAATAAATACACAGTATTGCTATCTGAATAATAATTGGGATGCAGGATTCACATAGCACCGGGATGGCTGTGTGTTTATTATTTGTATTTTTATATATGTCCTTTGATAAGCTTGGTCAGACGGTTGTGTTTGTTTTTGTGCAGTTGCAGCTTTGCAGGACTAAAATTAGGGAAAGGGAGTGGAAGATTGCACTGTTCTTAAACAGCATCACAGAAGTAAAGTCTTCAACGTATCACTTTTTCGGAAATGAGATCGTAGTAAAATGATAGTCCTCTCTTTTTCCTCCCCCCAACAGCCGACCATATACCAACAAAGTTATTACATTATGGTATCGGCCTCCTGAACTTCTGCTCGGAGAAGAAAGATACACACCAGCTATCGATGTCTGGAGCTGTGGGTAAGAGTTTGGTATAGAAGTGTAGCAAGCATAAAAACAAGCCAAAAATAAGTCTTAAATGTTTCTATCAATCTATATTGAAAGCTATAATGATGGAATTGTGCAAAACTGTTTTACAGCTGCATCTTGGGTGAACTTTTTACAAAAAAGCCAATATTTCAAGCAAATCAAGAACTTGCTCAACTGGAACTTATAAGGTAACTTGCAAGCACTACTGCATAGTAGGTGCCTCATAAACTGTCAGGTTTCTTTTGTTAGTGTTAAAATCGGAGATCATGCACTGTGAACATTTACAAGTACTCAGTTATTGCCCTGAGTGAGATTTTAGAGGTTTTGAGGGGCATGTAAAGCAAGTGACTGTTGCTCAGACATGGAGAAGGGGTTTTTGTGAGTATTCTGTGGTCCTAGAAGTGTACAGTTGAATAGTTAAGAGTTTTTTTTGTAGAGCAGCTGGAGTTGCCTATTACTGAAGTTTAAAGAGAGAGTAGTCAAAATGCCTGTTATTTTTTAAGATGATGTTACAACTTCCTTGTGGAAAATCAAAACGAAAACATGGACAATAATGAGGACAAGTGGGATTTGGGAGGAGTAGGCAGTTGGCATGCTACTGCCCTTGAGTTCTTGTTTCAAGCCTTCCACATACACACCTGGGCTTTATTATTTTTGTGGGAATATTTCTGTTCCCTTACAAACTGCCAGATGCTTTATGGAGGTAAAAACTCTGTTTCTTTCTTTAACTCAATAAATCATAGAATGATATGTATATAACTCAGTGGAACCAGAGCATCTTTTTTTTTCCCTTTATTCAGCAAGCAAAAATTGCTCTTGATTCTGATATCATAATTGACCTCGTAAGTGAGGAGAGGTCCTCTTCCTAGAAACAAGGGGAAAAGAGGGTGAGTCCTACAGAACTTATAGAACCTGAACAGTAAACGGTCAACATTATTTTAAAAATTAAGATAATGAAAAATATTATGAGGTTATATATTGAGATGTTTTTCAAAACAGATTAAACAGTAGCATGTTTCTGTGTGATGTGTTATTAGCTGGCCTGGAAAAATGAAGTTTTTAGGAGATGCAAAGTGTATCAGTGGTCATTCTTGGCGTAAGGAGAACTAAACTCGTGAGTTGGTAAATTTTTGCTTTTGAGCACTAGATGGCATTGAAGCACATCACAGTGCAGTCATTTGAAGTTTTTTCTCTTTGTATCGTAATTCTGGTACAGCAAACTAAAATTTTGTGATTTCCTTCTGCTGGGAGCTCCTGTTTGTAGCTCGTTTTTCCTCTTCACTGATGCTATGCATTTTTGGCTGTTTAAATGTAATATATCATTTTTGTCACCATCTCTACCACCATCATATTACAGTCAACAATTCTACATTTATTCTTTCTAACTTTAATGTTCAGAGATAGAGCTGAAGGAAATTCTGGTAGGAAAAGATAGATTTATTATTCTTTTCCCTCCTGAAAGTTACATACCCCAACCAGTGTAAAGTCAGATTGGTTTGCATAGCATTCGGGGCATAACTAATAGATCATTAGGTCACTTACACTAACCATTTAAATCTAATAAATGGGAGGGGTGAGCTAGGGAAATGTATTTGCAAAATGTCCTTTTATGACTGCCTGCATCAGAGTTTGAAACCTTGCATGTACAGTAAAATGCCTCTTTAGTTCTTCTGCTCAGAAGCATGGTGTTGGTCAACCTGTGCTTAGCCATCCTTGGTTGGATAAAATGGGTGGGGATGGAGGGGGAGGAATAAGACTACAGGCAACTCCATTTGTGGAGATAGATGAAGCTTGAGACGTAAAGCTCATAACAAGTAAAAAATGTACAGGTTGTCTAGTGGTCAGATCTTGCTTCTGCCCTTAGGCCTTAATGAGTCGTCGTCGTCCCCCCCTTATGTCTTCAGTAACAACTAAATTCTCAGTAAAAAGTGGTTTTTCAGATATTTTGTGTATCTGTCTTCACTGGCATTGGGAGCTAAGGACATAAAAGTTAATTAGCACTCTAAACCTGGGCTATCCAGTTCTCCAGGTCAAACACCTGGAGTGCTGTCCAGACATAGTTGGTTAAGTTCTTCTGTGGATGATGCCTGGGGGTGGGGTGAGGCAGAAGCAGTGGACTTCTAAAGTAAGTTTAGTCTGTGCAGGGTGTTTGTCTTTTGTAGACAGTTCGTCATTATTTAATGGTGTTGGGCACTGGACAGTAGAGAAATTTTAGCTAAAAGAACCTGAACATTAAAATTAAAAATTATTTTTGTGTTCACTGTACATGCAAGAATAACATGACAGCTGTGCTCACTTGTGGTTTTGGATCTCATACCCTTTTTTTCCCTTCTTTTTGGTACAGCCGAATTTGTGGGAGTCCTTGTCCAGCAGTGTGGCCTGATGTTATAAAATTAGCTTATTTCAACACAATGAAACCAAAGAAGCAGTATCGTCGAAAACTGAGAGAAGAGTTTGCTTTGTAAGCATGAAGAATTAGTTTAGTCAACTGTAATAGCATTAAGTTATCCTGGAGACTTTATGAACTTCACTATTTTCTGGAGAATGAACATAGATTAGGTGTAAAGAAAAAGAGCTTTAGGTTCTTATCCTTCCCATGATACCCACAGAGCTTGTATTAACCCTTATTTAATAAGACCTTCAAGAAGAGGGGAGAAGGCCCTAAAATTTTAGCCACCTGTCAGCTTTCACCTAAGGAAACATTTGTTTGCCATGATTGGTACACCTGCTTGTTGTCCCTGTCCAAAAAAACAGCTCAGAGTACTTAATTGTTTTTTATTAGGACAACTGGCTACAGCTAAGTATGTAGTCTGGTTAACATGACAGTCTTCTGGGTCATAAATTCATTCAACACAGAGGAGTTATCTGAACTGTGTATTCTAAATTACTACCATTGGACTAGTTTTGTGCAAGTATCACATGTGAAAGTTATGGAAAACAGCTGTAAGCTTATTTTAAAGGTTTGTTCCCCTCCTTCAGTTAGCGTGGGTTTCAGAAGAAATGTATTGTCCTGTTCGTACTAATGAGACTTACATCTTTAAAGCAATAGAATTATTGTCCATGGACCAATCAAAACTGCAGCTCCCTGGGTGCTAAATTCCAAAGTGTAAAGTAACAATATAGTTTTGGCTGAAAAAGGTGGGTTGCTGTTTTTTGTAAGGACAATGTTTTAACCAATTACACCACGCAAAGCAAAGAAAGCTTTGGTTTTAGGCTTGCATAGGTAATAGAAGGTGAAGTTTATCTCTGCCTCTTACTACCAAGCTCAAGTTGTGAGTGGGTTTTGTTAGGGTGTAAGTTATCTGAGGACTTAATGATCAGTTGTTTTGGAAGGGATGTGTGCATAAAAATTTTGCACAGAAGTGTGTGATTCAAAATAAAAATGTGATGCTCTTCTCCATTTTGCTCTTTTGTAGCATCCCACCGGCTGCATTAGATTTATTCGATTACATGCTTGCTCTGGATCCAAGCAAGCGCTGCACGGCTGAACAAGCTCTTCAGTGTGAGTTTCTGCGAGATGTGGAACCATCTAAAATGCCTCCTCCAGAGTAAGTGATTTCCTTTGGCAGTGGTCCTTACCTCTATGAAATGTGAACATGCACTGATTTCATTAAACTCATTGTGTTTCAGTTAAAGTAGATGGTGGCAGAACAAAAATGTTGATAGATACAGTTGTTTAATGGTGATTCTGCACTAAAATGGTTGTGCAGCTCAGTGACTCTTACACCGTGATAGCAGTGGTTGTGAGGATCTCAGAACTGTTTCATTTGTTACTGAATTGTATATAGTTACTGAGTTAGTACCTTTTAAAAAATACTCTTACACGAATGTTTCTAATGTTGAAAAACTGTCATTTCCCTTCTATCTCTGTTTATCAGTGTCTACTTTTTTCAAGGGTTTGAGGTCCTCCATGAATCTGAATTGCCTTCTTTGATGGTAGAATGACACTGGGTATAGAATTCTGCAAAGGTACCCGAGAGTTAAAGTGAAATACCATAAATTGTTTCCTATGCCAGATGAGATTCTTGGTTTTACAGTCAGGAGAAGTGAAATACTTTGTGCAAGTTTTTTCCTGTCGGTTTCTCTGAGAGGAAATGTATTGCAGTGTCCAGCAGGGTTTTTGCAGTGACTTAATTGTTATTTTAATCAGTACAAATCTCATTGGAACAGGCCCCAAGGAGAACAATGAAAAGCTATTACAGAACCTGCAGGTTTCATTCTTTCCTCAAGATAGCTGTCAGAACATAGAACATTTAATATTGTTTGAGTAAATTGTACCTCCAAGGCAGCCTGTGCTGACTTCTTTTTAATTAGTTACCAACTGGGAAAAATGTTTGAGTTTTATCTAAGAATTTTATTAGAAATCTTTTGAGACTTACCTGTTACATACACACAGTTGTTCCTAATGCTCCCAATACATGAGGCTAAGGGGTTTCATTGCCTGAATATGGCTATATGTAACACTGTCTGAATATCAGTAATCAGCAAGCAACCTTAGGCTATTCACTAAAATCTCAGAACCACTTGTACAGCGTGTTGCTTATATGCTTTTTAAAGTAAGTGAATGGGAGGAATTTTTTTTTTTTTTCAGGGGCTTGGTAGTGCATGCATTCTAGAAGCTGATACATGGAAATTCAAAACAAACTAGTTGTTGGTGTCCTTACAAAAATTAAGAGGAACCACACTCACTTCTGACAGAGCACTCACAGGAAAGTGTTGACTGTTCTCTTGAAAGACTAAAATTCTGCTTTGGGAAGAAACAGCTGTTCATTCGAAGAAAGTGACAGTGCTGATTGCAAGGACTGTAGGATACTTCTCACAATGAGTTCTTGCTTGTTTCCAGTTGTTTTTGCCTAAATACTTGGCGGGTCTTTGACCTGGTATGTGGAGGGAGAGAACAGAGAAAGCAGTTGCCTTTCCAGTGGCTCTTGTCATCTGTCACCTAATGTTTCCATGTTCCTGGGTGAGGGAACTGCTCAGACAGTTATTAATATGTAATAGGAAAACAGAAGGTGCTATTTTTACTGCCTATCGCAGTATTTCCATCATCTGTGGGATGGGTCTCTGTGTTCCTCAGGAAATCAGAACTGGGATGCCTGCAGGGAATGGTAATGGAAGGACAGAACTGGTGTGGCAGATTACTTCCTTAGGAGACTTTTGACTCTGCTTTTATCTGGCTTAAAGGACTGGGATATCCCTTGTTCTTCCTGGTATCCTAACTTTGCTAGTGCCAAGTGCTATTTATTCCTGCAACTTTTTTTTTCTTTTTTTCCTACTTTCTTGATTGTTTGTGCTCTGTAGCCATGTCTGTTGCTGTGGACAAATACTTGAACTCGTGAGGCAGTAGTAATTCTACAAGTGGACAAAAGGAATTGGTCACCCTGACCCTGAAAAAATCTCTTCCATATTGATAACTCCCTTATCTGTTAGTCTGCAAATTGTGTTTTATAGGAAGTGTGCAGCATTGATTTTGAAGTCTTGAATTACACAAATAATTAGGCTTTTCATCAGTATGAATGCAAGAAAGTAACATTGATTCTCATTTTAAGATACATGTTCCCCTTTTCTGCCTGAGGGTCCTGTGCTTCTGAAATAGGCAATCAATGAAGAGATTTCAGCCAGAAAAAGCAGATCTGAGATTTTGCTGTCTTTGGGTGTTTTCTGATGTATTTCCCAGTTCCAGGAGGTTCATCTTTCAAAAGTTACATTACGTATAATTCAAGCATTTATTTTACCAACATGGTTAAAAAAAAAAGTTAAAAAAAATTTCTGGGATAAAACTGATTATCTCTAATCATTCTTTGCAGCCTTCCTTTGTGGCAGGATTGCCATGAGCTGTGGAGTAAGAAACGCAGAAGACAGAAGCAGATGGGCATGACTGATGACTCAACAGCAACTAAAGTCCCTAGGAAGGATCTCTCTCTAGGCATGGATGAGAGCAGAACCAACACCCCACAAGGCATGCAAACTTCTTCCCAACTCAAAACTCAGGGCAACTCTAGTGTAGCACTTGGTCAGTAATATTTTCAGTTCTTATAATTACCTTCTACTTGGATTGCACCTCTAGAAATTTTAGATGTTATTTTCAGAGTACTGAAGTCTCCTGGATTCTTGAGGGAGGAACAGTATTGTAAGTTAAATCTTTGTTACAAAAGGTTTATCTTTCCTTTTGGAAACTAGGTGTTCCTTTTAAGTTTTACCTAATTTTTCAGTCTGGTCAGAGCAACTACCTTGCTCTGTATTTTGAGGGGATTTTATCTCTTGCTCATCTATAATTCTTCTGTAATCCCGCAAACCAGCTGCTCTAAGTTCCTCACGGTCTCCAGAGAGGAGCTTTATTGGTATTGATAAACTGATCAGAAGGCAGATTTTGGAACAATCGTAGTTTCAAATTAGACATTCCCTCAGCATGTTATGTTAGTCTTCAGCTTTCCAAGTTGTTGGGGCTGAACTAACTTGTAAAAAAACCCAACCAGACAAACAAAAAAACCAACCCACAATGCACTCTCCCTCCCCTTGCCCCAGCCTGGTATAACAAGAAGTAGCTACCTCTACAGATTGCACAGTCATTAATTCTGAAACTTAACCAAAGTATCTTGCTTGGAGACCAATTTTATGAATATAATATACAGAGTAAAGTAACGGTTTCCTGTGTGGACACCATTTGAGATACTCAGCAGTTTGGTGATAGTTCCCTCATCATATGTAGAAATATACAGAGCAGCCATACCAAATGAATACCTGATAAGTTTAATTTAGACCATTTTTGATTTTGTGCAAAATGACCATAACTCCTATGGCACTGATACAGGAGTTCAGCTGAAGAAAAACAGTAAATGCATTCACAGGGCCTGAAAAATTCCTTAATACTAACAGTCTTGAATCAACTCTTCATTTAACAACAAAGCAGAGCTCCAAATACTCTGTGCAAAGATATATAGAAAATAGTTCTTTCGATCACATTTTATTGCCATTTATTGCCTCTTGCTCCTGTTCATCCTGTTTCTCACTGTGAGCTTCTGCCACTCCGTATGTTTAGGCTAAAGTTTTGGCAGTATTTTCAAGCATGACTTTCTGTAGCCCTTAAAATTTTCTCCCCTGCAAATGAAAACTGTATAGAAGTTTAAAGAGTCCAAAGGGTAGTAGTTATTTTGTGGTTTTATAACAGGTAGCCTGATGAGAGACTACCATGTTTTAGTCATTAATGCAAACCATGCAAAATAAACTAAACATAGAGAAGGAATCATTCAGACCTATACTGCTGTTTGCCCATATGTACATAGAGAAATACATCTGGGTAGAAAAGAAGACCACTTAATTTTCAGTGGAGCTTAGACAGTTCAGCATAGAGGTGTTTTCTGTATCAAGCAAAACACTTCTGGAAGCCATAATGCACCTTAGGTAATATCATCAATAAGGTGCACTGAAGAACTCCATGTACTAACACATGCTTTAAACAAAACTGTTGCATTTGTTCCTGAGCACCCCAAAAGAAGAGGTTAAAACCACCTTGGATCAATTGCTAATGTTCTGATTAATGAATGGGACCCCTGGTTATCGTATCTTACAATTTAAAGGGAGCTATGCAGAGCTCAATAATTCTGTTCTCGTAGAAACTGCCAGATTTCCCAGAATACAGTTTGCTCTTGGAATGGACTTGAAACTAACCAAAGAGAATGGAATAGCTAGATTAGTTTCCTTGTTTGGCATTTTTCTGCTGAATTTTCTCTGAGAGGCTGAGAAGTTTGAGTGTTGAGCATACCATCCTCGGATGCTACAAAATCAACTGTTAAGCATGACATCTGAGTAAGAACCAGCAGTACAAGGCATTAGAAAAGATGGGGGGGTTTTTTTCTGTATTGGTTTTATTTTTGTATACATATATAAAATTGTTGAAGTGCCTGGATCCTGCCTGAGTAGGTTCCAAGTGCTTGTATCCTGGTGCACATCCACAAGGAGGGTTGTGGGTTTTGTAGCACTTTCCAGATGTGCTGCTCTTAGCCTTGCAGGGCAAATACTTAATATTTGTGTGACCTTTTTTTCAGGCATGACTTTGAATCTGCTGTGAATTAATATATTGGTGAATTAGCAGAATGGTAGGGATAGAAGAGGATAGAACGTGTTCATGTTGATCTGGGTTAAAAAAATTCAGGGCTCTGCCAGCACAGTCACACACGCTCATTTTTAAATTTTTAGCAACTTTGTTCTCTAAGTCATCTTCTCATAGGGCATGTTGAAATCCATGCTGCTTCACTTCGCCTTTCAAAATAAACTACCACAATGGGTGTTTGAAACTAAGAAACTACTTTGATATCCTGACTTCGTTATTCATATTCCCCTGCATTATCATAATCTCCTCTTATTTGTGGCAAACTCCATTTCACTGAAGAAATTGTATATCTTCACAAACCTGCATTTTCCTGCAACTCAGTGATTGAGTTCCTGTCCCTCAAACTCAGCACTTGCTTTTGCATTTTATCGCTAGCTTCTGGGTCACCTAGAGCCTGGTCACTTGAGCAGGTGTTAGAATCCAGATGCTGAATTACAATGGGCCAGAATATGACTGGAAATTCGTTTTGCAGATGGCCACTTTTTAACAGAGGGATGTGATATGTCAAAGATAGGGAATTTTGCAGGGACTGGAGATCTTACAGCTGCCTGAAGCAGGTGGCCTTAAGCCCCAGCTTAGTGGTATTGTGGAAAATTGAGCTCCAGCTTGATGTTTCTCATCTGTCCGAGTGCGTGTGTGCACCCCTTGGAAGTCACTTTCTTTATATTGGATCTTACTATTCCATTTCCTATAGATACTCCCCCGAAGGCAGTTAATATGTAAAAGCATTTCATTTCTATGTTGTCCAAACCCATGCTTTGCCAGTTGTGTCAGCCATGCTAGATTAGTTTTACTTTTGAGTTTCTGAAATATGCCAGTTCTAAATAATACTTAAAACCACCTTTTTTGTCTTTAGCAAAAACAAGCACTGGACAACAGTTAAACCAGAATGAAGTGGCAATCCTGCTAAACCTGCTACAGTCTAAAACAAGTGTTAGTTTGGCACAGTTTGCCCAAGTGTTGAATATTAAGGTTAACCCAGAGACTCAGCAGCAACTAAATAAAATAAATCTTCCTGCTGGAATTTTGTCAGCAGGTGAAAAACAGTCAGAACAGCAGCAGCAGCCGCCGCCGCCTCCACCACCACCGCCGGAACAGGAGCCTCTAAAACAGCCGGCCGTCACGCAGCCTCCTGTACCACCTGCTCAGCTGAGTCAGCCTAAAGTTGAGACTGACGCTGCCCAGGCAGCTGTACAGAGTGCATTTGCTGTTCTGTTGTCTCAGTTAATAAAGGCTCAGCAAACAAAACAAAAAGATTTTGTGTTGGAGGAGAAGGAAAACGGATCAGGAAATGAAATGTCGTTACAACTCAGGCAGCCTCCAGAGCCCACCACTCCTGTGTCTGTCAGCCGGGACGACGTGGAATCTCCAGCTCCCGGCTACCCCCATCTGATCAAGTCATTATACACGTCTGCAGGTACTGAAGGTCTTTATTGCTAACCGGCAGATACCTTGAGCAGTGGGGATGTAAGAGTTTGGGGATAAAGAGTTAACTTGTTAACCATATGCGCCTGTGTGCGTGTAGGAGAGATGATTAAATTGATTTTGTTGCATTTTACATCTGGATCATAGAATTTGTGTCTCACTGTAACAGGTGCCATGCAGACAGAGCAAAAGATGATCCCTACTCTAAGAGGTACACAAGTGCCGGTTGTAATTCTGATGAAACAGCTACATTGGTCATTATTCTGGGGGTTTGGGGTTTTTTCAGTGGTGTTTGTGGTGGAGAAGACAGTCTTCTCTAGCAAATTCATAGATGGAATTTGCCCGTTTTGTGTTTAGGTAAAGCCTATTTTGGGGAGAGGGTATTTTATTTTTGTTTTTAATGCTGACTAGAGCAATTTCTTAGTGTCAAATTCTGTAAGTGGTTACCCAACTGTCACTGACACACATGGTTGAAGGTTTCCACTGAGGTACAGCAGTGGCTTCCTTAGTCTTCTCAAAGTTTAGAGCTCTATTGTTGATCTTTTTGGATTGCTATTTCAGTTTTATTATATGGTGGTTTATGTATTGCTCTATGGTGTTTGCAGCTGTTGAAAGAAGTACTCTGAAGTGGTTTGGGGGGTGTTTCTTGAGGGTTTTTTGGGTGGTGTTTTTGTTGTTCATGTTTTTTAACCTTAAGTTTTGCTGTTCCTTGATAGGGTGGCCTTTTGTCCCTCAGGACTTTTATCCCTGTTTGCAAATCTTTTCTTACCCCTCTTTGAATTTTCTAGTGTTTAAGTGTTCCTTGAGTATTGTTTGCTTTGATTTTTTTTTGTTGTTGTTGTTGTGATCTTTTTTTTTGGTTTAGTAATTTTTTAAAGGAACTTGTACCATTTTTTTTTAACTGCTTGTCTGGTAATCTTACTTTGAGGAGAAACATGCATCACCCTCCTGAGGCAAATGAGCTGTTGTCTTCTCCAAAATAATCTGTTCAACTACCAATAAATTTAACTAATAAGTTAATGAGAATTGAAGTAACAAACCTCTGTATTGTTCCAGGAAAAAGTCCTTTCCTTTCTGGTATTGTTACTGTATATTTTTATTCCAAAGCTTTTCTTTTTCATCTGCTTAGGTCAAGAGGATTTGGTTAGGCAGTCCGAGATGAGGCTTCTCAACCGAACACCCGAACAAGAACGCCCTCGGATCTTGCCTCCGGACCAGCGTCCCCCAGAGCCACCGGAGCCTCCGCCTCTCACTGATGAAGACCTTGATTATCGGACAGAGAACCAGCATTTGCCTATAACTAACTCTTCAGGAACAGACCCTCACGCAGGAGTGAAAGCAGCTCTTCTGCAGCTGCTTGCTCAGCATCAAGCTCAGGCGACAACAGAGGAGCCGGTACAAACAAGCGTGGATTATCAGGCTAGAGAATCCTACGTAACAGGCCCAGACTACAAGGATAACTTTGGATCATCTTCCTTCTCATCTGCCCATTATGGCAGTAGCGATGGAATAGGAAGCGGATCATCAGGAGCATTAGAAAGGAGGAGCTTCCTTGGAAATTCAGATATTCAGTCTTTGGATAACTACAGTACTGCTTCATCTCACTCTGGCGGTGCCCCTCCTCCGTCGGCCTTTTCAGAATCCTTTCCCAGCTCAGTAACTGGTTATGGAGACATTTACCTCAACACTGGCCCCATGCTATTTAGTGGAGATAAAGACCATAGGTTTGAATACAGCCACGGCCCAATCCCGGTTCTGGGAAGCAGCAGTGATGCTTCCGCAGGGCCAGAGAGTACGCACTCTTTGCCCACAAAGATGCACAACTATAGCTACGGAAGTAACTTACAGGAAAATCCCGGTGGCATCAGCCACATGCATGGACAGACTTGGACTTCTCCGGCCCAAGGACCCGGCTATTCCCAAGGATACAGGGGACACATTAGCACATCTGCAGTGAGAGGGCGAGGCAGAGGATTACCATATTGAGTATCTGTTTTTCCTCAGGCACATCATTTTTATCTGGAAAAACTTTTTTTTTTTTTTTCCCTAGCTGCAGTTTAAAGCAGCAATTCAACAGACTTGAATAATGTTAATTCAACAGCTTTATTTTTATGTGGAAAAGGGTCTTGCATACAGTAGGAAAAATTAAAAATGCTTAAAACTCATGCTGTCTGAAAACTAGATAAATTGATTGTACATGTTCACAAACTAGTTCTGAATTTTATTTTGTATTTTGGCAGTTTTAAGTGGATGCTAAATTTAGGGACATCAGCTTTTTATGGCACTCTTTCAGATCTTCTGAACTATGCACATTTGTGCTTTTTTTGTAAGTTTGGACCAACTTTTATGTAAAAAAAAAAAATTTTACAACAATCAAAGCAGGGCACTGATTTATTTGGTATTTTTCTTTTTACAGAACTACCTTTAGTCAAAGGTCACTGTCAGTCTTTGCACTGCTTTCAGTGTTATTGTGGAAGGTGTACTTTGTGCTCATTTCAGATAATAAAACACAACCTTTCTCTTGATGCAAAATTTTATAAATATTTGGTCAATGTTATTTTTTTTTCTTTCAAGAAAAAAAAAAAAAAATGGCGGAATTTTTATAAAAAATTTGTTCAATG